AAAAAAAAATCAGAAAGGAAGAAAAAGGGAAAGATACATACAGTCATCACTTATTTGAGATCATAGTGCAAACTTCAAAGTTCCGAGAATGCCACTTTTACTTGCCTTTGTTTTCTGCCTTATTAGTACTACTACTAGCTTAATTTTTTGTTTTTTTGTTTTTTGGTTGAATGATATTTACGTTCGATTTTAAATATTAGTTCAGACATGTGTATTTAAGAAAATTATATTTTTAAATATATTTTTTATTGAAATAATTGTTATATTTTAGTTTAAATTTATTTTATTTTTTTAATGTAGATAAATATTTTTTTAATTTAACTTTATTATTCATTTATTTTAATGAATCTTCGAATTATAATTTTGTCTTCTATTTCTCTGTTAATAAAAGTATTATAAATAAATATAAATATTATTTTTAAATCTCTAATTTGGAGAAAAAAATAACAATTATTTTAAGATAGAAAAAGTAAATTTTAAGAATTAAATCTTAAACATACCTTATAAAATAAGGTGTACTTACTAATAAAATTATTTCTACTTTTTTTTTTTCATTTTAAGTTGTATAACGGATGCAACTTTTTTTTATTTCTTACTTCGTTTTATTTATAAATTATATTATTTGAATTTAAAATTTTCTACTTCCTCTAAAAATATAATTATTAATAAATTATTTAATTTATTATAATACTATCTTTGATTCTTTAGTACAAAAATTAACTTATAAGATGACTCAAGTTTTTTACTTGCTTTCCATTGGGATATCGTTAACTTTCGACTACTAGTAATAATTTTTCTTTCAATTGTCCAGAGTACTTGACATTATGACGGCCTACAAAAAAAATTGACATAATGACTGAATCTAGGAAATACCGTTAGTGGCCGTTTTAATGGTAATATTAGATTGCCTGAGTTAACCATCATTAGTTGACTAAAACACCCTGCTTTTTATTGACATTTGAAACATAGTAACATTTTGGTCAAAAACTTTGTTTAGTATGACATTAGGTCTTTGGAAGTCCATTTCCATAGGTCTAAATACCATAAGCTGCATTATTTTTATTATTATTAGAGTAGGTATTCACTTACAAACACACCATACTTACACAAAATTTTAACTATTTATCTTTTCGCTTTTAATAATTAGGATTTATTTAGATTTATTAAAAATAATTATCTTTTTTATTTAAAAATTCGTAATAATTTTCAACCATTGAAAGTAGATAAATGAATAGTTGAAATTTTGTATAAATGTGATGGGTAAGTAAATTCCCTATCCTATTATTATAATTAAAAAAATGTTGTATAGTTTGAATTATATAACTTAAACAATTTAATAGGAAGAGGCCTCTCTTATTCCTTAATTCACCAATATGCGTGGATATGACTTGACTATAAAATTTTTTTCTTCTATTAAAGATAAATTATCACTAAATTATTTATAGTATTTTTTGAGATGCATTATATATATTTTTTTGTTTAATTTTATAATCTTATAAGAAAAATAATATAGTTACAATTAATATCATGTGATATTGGAGCTTGTAAACTTACAATCAAGAGGTATAAGTGAATGGGTGCCTCTTTTTATTTAAGAGGCGATTCATGCATAATATTATATATGTTCATTCATTTAATAACATGCTATAATTATAAATTTACAATTTTATATTACATTATAATAACACCGAGATTGGGAGGAGAAGGCTCCAGAGTTCTGTCCAGGTTCACAAAACCAGGTAGCTGGTGACTCAATAACAGACAGTGGTATTGAAAATAGAAATAAATGCTTGCGGGCGGAGGGTAATATCAGTAAGGAAATGAAGATATGGGGGTTTGCCAGAGAAATTGGGGTTGTGGATCGCGGAAATGAGGAAGATATTCTGCATAGGCTCGAGGCCATGGAGGAACGTGACAGAGAAAATTTTAGAAGATCAAAGGCCAGTGAGGCAGATATTGGGGGAATCAATTGTGGTGTTTTATAATGATCTTTATGTCAATTAATGTAAGAGGTGTGGGTGGTCATGGGAAGAGAGCAGGGGTTAGAGAATTAGTGATTCGGGAAAAAGTGGAGTTCTTATCAATTCAAGAATCCAAAACAGAGGTAGTGGATCATCAACTCTGTAGAGCCCTTTGGGGATCAGATGAATTCGAGTGGGTTGCCCAACCTTCAAAAGGTACGGCTGAAGGTTTGATTTGTGTTTGGAATTCTGAATTATTGAAGAAAGATAGAATTATTGAAGGGGAAAATTTTATTGGGATTTTTGGATTTTGGGGGGCAGCTAGAATCCCTGTTTATATCGTTAACGTTTACTCCCCATGCGACCTTCCTAGTAAAAGAGCACTATGGGCTTCTCTCAAAAACCTTATTTCTGAAATTGGTGGGAACTGGTGTTTAATGGGGGATTTCAATGCAGTAAGAAATGAACAGGAAAGGAAGGGGGGGATGAGTATAAGGAGAGAAATGCCAGAGTTTGACGATTTCATTCATGAATGTGGCCTTATTGATTTACCATTAATTGGCAGAAAATTCACCTGGTATCAACCTAATGGAGCCTCGATGAGTAGGCTAGACAGATTTCTGCTCTCAGAAGAATGGTGTTTGAATTGGGATAATGTCAAACAATGGGGTTTAAACCGTTCACTCTCTGATCACTATCCAATTGTGCTCAAAAACCAAATTTCAAATTGGGGCCCTAAACCATTTCGGTTCTTTGATGCTTGGCTGGAATTTCCTCAGTTTAAAGGTATTGTCACTGATATCTGGAAGTCTACAGAAGTAAAAGGATGGAATGGGTATTGTCTGAAGGAAAAACTGAAGGAAACTAAAAAGGTGCTGAAAGAGTGGAACAAGAAGATGACATCAGAGATTGAATTGGGCATTCAAAAGAGCATTGACTCTATTGCCTCTATTGATAAAAAAAGGTGAGGAGATGTCTCTGTCGCTAGAAGATATTGAAGCCAGAAGGACAAACTTCCTAGAGCTATGGAAAAATCAAAGGATGAAGGAAAGTATGTGGCGCCAAAAAGCTAGAAAGACATGGATTAGTGATGGGGATGCCAATACAAAATTTTTTCATAGATGTGTGAAAGGAAGAAGAAGAAAGAATGATATATCAAGTATCCTAGTGGGGAATCAACGACTTGAAGAAGTCAACTGCATGAAAGACGGTGTGGCTAATTATTTTGAGACACTGTTTAAAGAGGATGTGTGGCAACGCCCAGTGTTAGATGGGGTTGACTTCAAGAAGATCTCAGATGAGGAGAGGGCAATGTTGGAAGCACCGTTTAGTGAGGAGGAAGTCAAACAAGCTGCGTGGAGTTGTGAGAGCACGAAAGCACCAGGAGCCGATGGATTCAACTTCAAATTTGTCAAGGAGATGTGGGGAACTCTTAAGGATGACGTAATGGGATATGTATCTGATTTTCACAAGCATGGCAAACTGGTTAGAAGGATGAACTGCTCCTTCATTGTATTAATCCCTAAAGTCAATAGCCCTCAAAAAATTGAAGAATTCAGACCAATCTCACTAGTTGGTGTCATGTACAAACTGATTGCGAAATTGTTAGCACGTAGGTTGGCTTCTGTTTTGAATGGGATTATTGGGGAGAATCAGATGGCTTTTGTCAGTTGAAGGCAATTAGTCGACAGTGTGATCATCGCAAATGAGATTATTGATGAAGCCCAGAAAAGAAAGAAGAAAGGATTTGTGTTTAAAGCTGACTTTGAAAAAGCTTATGACAAAGTCTGCTGGGAATTCCTGGATTATATGATGCTAAGAATGGGTTTTGGTCAAAAATGGAAAAACTGGATTAATGAATGTTTGAAGACAGCAGAAGTCTTAGTGCTTCTTAATGGTAGCACCACCAGGCAGTTTAAGATGCAAAGAGGTCTCAGACAAGGTGATCCTCTCTCCCCTTTCTTATTTTTTATTGTGGTTGAAGGTCTTAATGGCATCATCTCATCAGCTGCGTCATTGGGGATGGTTAATGGGATTGAAATTGGGCAGTGTGGCATGAATGTAACCCATCTCCAGTTTGCTGACGACACAATTGTGTTTGGTAATGCTTCGGAAGAAAATATTTGGGCTGTTAAAAGTATCATGAGGATTTTTGAGATGGTGTCAAGGCTTAAGATTAATTTTGGAAAAAGTATGCTTATGGGCATCAATGTTCCGGAAGAATGGATGACTAGGATGTCTTGTATTTTGAATTGCAAACAGGGATCCTTTCCATGTAAATACCTAAGCATGACGATTGGGGGTAAAAGCAGATGTATTGCCATGTGGAGACCTATGATTGATTCCTTTAAGAAGAGACTGGCCAGCTGGAAAAATAGATTTATCTCTCTTGGTGGAAGGATCACGCTCCTTAACTCCGTGCTATCTAGTCTCCTTGTGTTCATGATGTCTGTCCACTTGCTGCTTAAAGGTTTGATTCTTATTCTTGATAAAATTCGTAGAAATTTTCTTTGGGGGGGTGGAGAGAATAATAGGAAGATCAATTGGGTTTGTTGGGAGAAGGTGTGTAGAAGTAAATTGGATGGTGGGTTAGGTGTGAAGGATCTTAGAAAGTTTAATTTAGCGTTGCTAGGCAAGTGGTGGAGTAGACTAGCGGAGGGAGAGGAAGGTCTTCTTTATAAGGTTATTCGTGAGAAATATGGTAGTAATGGAGGTAATTGGTTGAATTGGATCAAAGAGGGGAAACACAAGGGGTCGTTATGGTGGAGGGATGTTTGTAGATTAGATTATTCATGCTCAAATAGAGTTGGCTGGCTCTTAGATGGCTTTAAACTAAAGTTGGGAGAGGGTATCTCTGTCAAATTTTGGGAGGATGTCTGGATTGGGGACGAGACACTAGCCAATAAATTTCCCAGACTCTTTTTGAATTCTTTAGGCAGGACAAAGAGCATTTCTCAAATGGGATTCTGGAGCAATGGAAGTTGGAATTGGTCATTAGAATGGAGGAGACCTATCTTATCCTGGGAAGAACACTCGATGGCGGAGCTGTGGAGGATGTTGCAGAATATCCAACCAAGTAAGGGACAAAAAGATCGATGGGAGTGGAGGAATGACCAGGGTATGTACTCAGCTAAATCGGGTTATCAAGTTCTCTCCAGCATCCACCATCAGAGTAGGAACAACTTGCATAAAAGAACTTGGTGCAGGTTAGTCCCCACAAAAATTTGTGCCTTTGGTTGGAAAGTCCTTCAAGATAGAATACCCTCCAAGGTAAATTTGTATAAGAGAGGGATAGTTCCGGATGTCAATCTAGCTATATGCATGTTATGCAATGAGAGTATTGAAGATATAAATCATCTATTTCTTCATTGCAAGTTTGCATATGCAGTGTGGTCCAAATGCCTCCAATGGTGGAGAACTTCTTCTGTTAGAGCTGACAAGTGCTATGCATCCTTTGAACAACAAGCAGCCTCCTTTAAAAATGCAAACATCAGGGCAGGATGGGATGCAGTCTGGTGTGCAACAATCTGGTCTATATGGAGTGCTAGAAATGAAAGGACTTTCAGAAACCATGACCAAGATGTCAATAGGATCTTTGAGTTGGTGCAACTGCGAACATTCCATTGGATCAAAAACAGAACAGTAGGGTACTCTTTTAATATATGTAACTGGATGTTGGAACCTATGGAATGCTTGCAAGATAAAAGGGGAGGAAATTATAGTGCTGCAGGACGGGGGCTAGGGGTGAATCCATGACAGCCGAGAGGTGTTTTTATATACTGTTCTTTGCTATGGGATCAGGTGGGTTTGTCGGGTGTTGGTTTGTTGATTTGAACAGGGAGAGTTGATGAGAATGCAAAAGATGGCCGGTTCCCCGTTGCGGGTATAGTGTCGACACTATATTTGGGTGTCGACACCTTACATTAACTTTTGATGTTATGAGTTTGGAGTACCCCTTATATTCCGTTTATTTATTAATAAATAATATGTTCACTGTTCAAAAAAAATTATAATAACTATATCATTACAAATCTTAAAAATCTAAACTCAAATTAATTTTAAAAAATAACCATACAAATAAATTAACCTCGTACCATAAAAAAACTAAATTATATGAGCTAAGTTAGAGTCACTTCATCAACCCATGCGTGATCCCTTTGGAACACTCCCTCGAAATTCTTCGTCCGGTGGTTTAGTCCAACTTCAACTTTTGCAATAGAAGACAATTATTCAGAAATTGGATAGCCAGCTAACATACAATAACTATAATTACTACAATCTTTATAAAAAATCATTATGGTTCCACCCCCTTTGTCCTTTAATAGTTGTCAATTTTGAATTTTGCAACATATATTAATAAATGGTAATTATTACTGTGATTAACTTATAATTTACCAACTTAACACTTTTTTCTGAGAAGAATAATAAATTTAAGTCAAATACATTATACATAGTCTATTTTATGGGATAAGATTATTATCACATCCTAAATAGTTAATATTACCCCTTTTAATATAATTGTCTTACATTACACTTTTTTTTAAAAAAAAATTTACATTTTTTAAAATAAATGAAAGAATATAATTGTCAATTAAAATATAAAAGTGTAGATTAATAATTAAGAGTGTGGTAATTACATCACCCATTTTATCTTTATCACTTTCTTTTTCTTATAACTATAAATGTTAAATAAAAAATTAGTAGTATATTTTGAAAATTATAAAAAAACAATTAGTTTAATAAAATTCAGGCTCTATTTAATAATTTGATTAATGACAACTGTTTATAATTATTTTTGCCTTAACCCTATATTTAGCCATTTAACTTGTAGATCATAAGGTTATTGGCCCCCACCTAAAAATTTAAAGGTATTAGCTAGCACCCAACAATACAATTTAGGAAAAATTTCCTTCATTCAACGGATTTGAAACACACAATGTTAGTTGAACATTATCTCCATCCTAGTCAGTGAGACTTCTTCATCCTAGTCAATTCCCCCCAAATAAAAGATACTATAATTAACAAGTCTTTTTTTTTTTTTTGTAGCATAATTAATAAGTCTTAATTTGTGTGTAATTTGATTAAAAAAAAAGATATTGTAATTAGTGAGTCTTAACCTATACTCTAAGGATATAGATTAGAAAAAACTCAAATATCAATTATTAATGGTTAGTTACTAACAACTACAATTATTAATTATTATTATCAACCAAACTAAAAGAAGTCTTGATAAAAAACAATAGGAGTGATAAGTAAAAACTTGATCAAATTGGTATTTGCACAACAGAAGGTAATCATCTCTCATCTTTTATCTTACTCCATTCGTATGTCATACAACTCAAACTCAAGATTTTTTACTTCTAACGAAAAAAAATTATTACTGAGTTACTTAAATGATTGTCTTGATATTTATTAAATTAAAAATAAATTAAATATTTAAATTTTTATATTGTTAGGTATCTAACTCTATCCATATTAAAAAAATTAAAAAAAAAAAAAAAAAAAAACAATAGGAGTGATAAGTAAAAACTTGATCAAATTGGTATTTACTAAAATTTTTTTTTTTTTTTATATTGGTTGCACAATAGAAGACAATTATTTTTCATCATTTATCTTACTCCGCTTGTATGTCATGCAATTCAAACTCAAAATTTCTTATTTTTAACAGGAAGAAATTACAAGTGAATTACTTAAATGGTTGTCTTGATATTTACTAAGTTAAAAATAAATTAAATATTTAAATTTTTATATTGTCAGGTATCTAACTCTATAGATATTAAAAAAAATAAAAATAAAAAAACTGCAGAAGTGGAGGAAGTAAATTTAATTAGTCTGTCAATTGAAGATGGAAACATTTGCTCCCATCCAACCAAATTGTGTCTTATAAATTTGAAGTACTATTTGGACTATAAATCCAACATTTCCATTGGTGTCCGCGCACTGCTTGTCGGCTTGCCTATTGTATTTTACTTATTCTTGAATTTTCACTTTCATGACATATGTTGTCCTAATCCCCACTATTTCTGGACGACTGCCCAATCTTTTGGCCTCTCTTATCTCATTGTTTATGCTATTAATGCAGTGGGGTTTTTTTTTAAGTAATTTTTTTACAGTTTTTATATATTATTAAATGATAAATGCATATAGTAAAGTGAAAAAAAAGTCAAATATTAAATAATATATCAGATTGTATAAAAAAATTTATATTAAAAAATTATCTCTCAATTATTCTTTTTTTATTTTTGCCGTAGCAACTAGGTTATTCCCTTAATCTAGATTTTTTTTAATAAAGATAATGACTAATATGTTCAATACACTTCATAATATATTTCTTAAAAGTTATTATTTTTAAGTTTAAATTCAAGTTGAGAAAATTTTTAATTGTACAATTTGATAATTAAATTAATAAATGTTAATAAATGTGTTGAATAAAACGATATATGAATCATTTTCCTTTTAATAATGAGATTGGACTATCTTACACTAGTACTATCTTACACATTAATTGTACATATAGTCTTAGTCATTCTTTTTTTTTGGTATATTAGAGGGTTGGTTGCTTGGTATCATATATGTTTGAATTTTAAACTTTGACCTTAAATCAAGATTTTTAAATTAGTAAGTATTAACTTGGCCAAATTTTTGTTGATAGTCATTTATTTTATTGAAATGAAAGATTTAGATTTATAGGACTTTTGAAATGATGAGAGAAATTATTTATTTTTTAAAATAGAGTTTGAAGTGAGTAAATTTTACACATTTATTATATTGAGATAAATAATTAAGATTAATTTTGTGTAAAATTTATAAATAATTAAAATTAAGATTATTTATCGAAAAGGGATTAACATTAATTTTGTGCAAAATTTATGTGAATAAATTTTTTGTAAAATTTTAGCATATCATCCACCACAACTTTTTTATATTATTAAATAATGTGTAAATAATTATAATATTCTGTATTTTAATATTGTGAAAAGGATCAATTATTAAATAATATAGACAAATACATAAAAAAAAATTATATATAAAAATTGTCCCTAAATCATTTTTATATATAAATTGAATCATACATATATTCAAAGAATGAGAAATAGATTTATATCATTGTTATTTTATTTATATATTAAAATTTCATCTTTCTTGTTATATTGTGTCAAATATATAAATAATAGACATTTTCCCAATAACTTCTTTCTATAAACAAAATTTGATCAATTAAAAGTTGATAAAAACTCCCTTGCTTGGTTATTCAGCCAACAACTGGTTGCGTTCTTATTTCCATAGTTGGATGAGCATGCAGTACCATTATACAGTAGTTTTATTAAATGCCCTCTCCCTAAACATGTCAGGCAGTAATTTTAGTACTTTGTACTATCTGCCTGTTGTTCTTTCAATGTATGTGCATATGTTAAAAACAATCTGATTTCCAACTAAGTACCTCAGAATTTAGGTGCTGCATTAAATTTAGACCCCTAAAACTAAGTCTATTTTGTTGGGACTTTATTAAAAATTAAAAAAATAAAATATTATATAATTCGAACTATATCAATAATATAATTTAAATTATTAAATAAAAAATATATTTCTTAATATTAAGAGTTATTTCTTCATCAAGTGGTTTTGTTTCAATATAAATTGCATAACAAAAACTTTTAAATTTAAGAGTGGAGTTATACTCAATAAATATGCAGTGGATTTGGAAGGTGAGACAGGAAGGAAACTCATCACAAAGGAGAAAAGAGTATCATACATAGGCATAAATACTTACAGCCTAGACAATTAAACCATATTGATGGAAAACTGACCCAATTGAAGAGGGCAATTCAAGCTTGACCCTCCTTACCTAAGGTGGCATAAAAGAAAGATGTAGTATAGGAACCCAAGCTATTAGTGCTTGACATCAATTTAGAATTTTTTTAGGTGAAGTATGTACATATACATTACAAATTATATCAAATTTGCTTATTGTGTAAATACATCACTAGTAATTAAAAGAACGAAAAACCAGAAAAATACTTGACGAAACCCTCCTTGAAATTTAGATTGCTTTGCTTGCAATGGGGGCTTGCACATTCCTCCTAATTAATTGCTTTCTAGCGTGATATATGGTTAGATGGGGGTTTCCTTCTAAATATAATGCAATTGAAAAAAAAAAAACTTTAACAGCATCCCTTAATCTCAAATTAAAGCAAAGACAATATAGGGTTCCACTTTCTCCCTTTCCATAAAGCATAAAGGTAAAAGATGGGGCTTTTGCAGACAATTTGAACGTGCACCATCCATTCAATTTTTTAATTGCATCATTACACTTAAAAACACATTACATTATTAATTACTCGGATATGATATCTGATCTAACTTTTCTGGATATTGCTATGCGAGGTCTTCTTTGATTAAAACAATAATTACTCTTCCCCTGAATCCCAAAATCCAGTTTATTTTCATATATTGTTAAATAAAATTTTTAACTAGTAGTCTCATTTTGATATGTGTTTAGATAAAGGATTCATTGACAAAAGAAACACTTAATTAAGAATTCATATAAAATTAATTATATAAATTAGAAAGTAATTCTTTTTTCTTTTTCTTTTTTCAAATTGGGTGTAAAATCTAGCATTGTTTATGAAATAGTTTTATATTTTACAATTTGAAATGTATCAAATTAAAAACATGAATTATTGAACGGAAAACAATCACCAACATAAGGAACTTATCACTATTTAATGATTTATATAGTAAAATATAAAGTACAACACACATTTTTATTGCATAAAAAATAATCTTTTCATGAGTTGGGTCCAACAAATAGTATTATATGGAAGTTTTTTCTTTTATTAGAAGAAAGAGTTACCTTATTCTCAATCTCAAAAGTCAAAACCCCATGTTTACTGGGATCATATATAATTTTTAACATTGAATCTGGATTTCCCAATAAAAAATTTATTGGTTTTAGAAACCTCTGAGGAACAAACCCAACATGATGCACATTTTCAGTAGATCATGGTGTAGTAATCTCTGGAATAACATATAGAATCAAGCTTCCTTGGAAAGTAAATTACTACATTTTTTTAGAGATAATCTAAGATCAATCAAAACCCAAGAAGTCTTCTTTTGTGGATTGAGGTTTCCAAGACAGCACGAGTGTGCCTAGTAAGATATTAAGAACAGCAGTTTCAGTTTCCATGTCTGCGTCTTGCTTCTGGATTCCCAAACACCTCTGTCCTCATTTGCAAATCCCAAAAATTTTTAGTTTATTATTTATTACGTTTAGAAGATAAAGTGCAGGGCTGTTGTTACCTGTTGATAAATTATTTAGAGTCTCTAAATAATTTAAGCAACAAAGTAGATTGCTCAGTTAAGAAAGGGTAAATTCATGCCCTCAGCTTTTTGAATGCTAAACAGTTATGCCCCAACATTTTTCTTAACAATCATATACATAATTTTTTTAGTACATGTCAAATTAAATTAAATTTTTCAAAAATAATATAGTTATAATATCATGTAATATTATAACTTTAAAATCATGATATATTATTATATTAGTAACTCTTTTCATTCAAACCCCCTTCCCTCACCCTAGTTTTCTCATTTTTTTTGTTTTCTTCTTTTCTCTAATTGTCGTTGCCTCTCTCTCTTTCAACGATTAAAGTGAATGGCTAAAGGTAGGAGTTAACCCTTCTCTTGTGGAGGTTTCTACCTTGGCTTTCTTGATACTTTTTTGTTGGAATTCACACTTATCAAAAGGAGGATGGTAATTTAAATGCAATATTAATTAAACTCAAATCAATTATTATGTTTGTTCCTACTGTCAAAAGTATTTGGTTGGAGACAAGATTCTTAACTAATTTTTTTCATCTCAACTAATTTTCTTTTTATCTAGATAAATTCTACTGAAATAAAACTTAACTGTTAAATTTTGAGTTCGAATGTAACCACAATATTTCTGTAGGTATTAGGTTATTAACTTCTACATTTTGATACATTTTATGAGTGTAATATCTCTTTATTATTTTACTACTCAAGTGGATCTTATGACTCATATTTTTATATATCAATAAAATTCTATTTCCTATTAGAAAAACTTTTCCTTCAAAGATTCATCTGTATCATACGTATCCTCTTAATGATGGGTAATGACGATAAAATCACAATTTTCTATTGCATTTACTATTTAAAGAAAAACATACATAGCGACCCGAGACGAACCATGCGATTAAGTAAGTTGATTTGACATATAAATATTAGAAATCTTCTTCTGAGTTTGAGTACATACAAAACAATGGAATTTTAGTAACTGTTTGTTTTAGATACACCTGATGACAAAACTATAATAATCACTTTTAGGATGCAAAACACCGTGACCCAACCGTCGCCTCAAAATCTTTCCTTTTTTTTTTGAAAAAACTCACTACAAAACCAACTGTATGAGAACACCTTGATCAGCTAAACTAATATGATCTTGAAACAAAATTTCCCAAGGATGAGAAGAATTAGATAAATTTACGGCAAAAACTCAGGAATCTGCTATGGTAGCTCACAATTTCTTCTGCAGTGTGAAGCAGACTTGGCTAAAACTAGCTTGCTCCATATACCATACATCAAACCTCAATTCTCTGCATCAGATCAAAAGATCCTGTGCCCATCTTAATTGGCAACCCCAGACAGATCCTTGCAGATGGCGTTCCCAGGTTGTCGGTCTCCCCATGTTTAGCTGCTTCAACGATGAATCTCGACGCTGTCTCAAAAGACATTTTGCTGAATGGTGATACTGAATCTGCTATAGCTCCCAATCGGCTCATTGGTCGATACCCACCAGAATGAGTCATGAAGTCAGCTATTAGTGTTAGGTGCCGGATATTGACCGAGATTCCATAAGAAGTGAAAACGTTATTGATCTCCCTGATGATGGTTTCTCTGGCAGCTTCCACCCCGTATGTATTTAGCATTGCATGAATGTCGTTGCAATATAAATACCTCAAATCGAGATGATCTTGCATGTCCCAAAATGCACGGAAGTCTATTCCACTTGAGTGCAAAGCAGGTATTTTCTTTTTCTCATCTGCTTTGATATCCCTCCTTTCATTGGGATCCCTACCATAGTAAATAACTTGATTCTCACTGCAATCGATCACTTGGCATTGATTTATCTTTCCAGAACTTTGGATATAAACCTTGTCAGCCGTCTTCTTAGCAATCTGCAGATTTACAAGAGAGAGAGATCAAGATGTAAACATGAAAATAACAATGATTGGGGATTGACCTGATATGCAGATCAAATGTAGAGCAATTGAAAGAGACCGAGAAGGTGGACTACGAAATGGGGGCTAATGAGTAACCAACATTAAATATAAGACCAAGAAAAAAATCTAACAGAAACCAACATGAGATGACACCAACAATCATCGAGTATTGATTAAAACAAAAGAAAATGAAAACGTGAAAATTCTTTGGCTGTTCTAAGGAAATCTGGCTTTCATAATCGAACTACAATTCTATAAATGAAATTAATTTAGTAGGAAAATATTAACATGAAAAAAAGTGATATTTGAAAGACAGGTGAAGCATTACCTCGGCCAGTAAAATATGAGGATCCTCACTTTTAAACTCGAAATGCACCTCATAATGCATCTGATGCACTTCTCTTTTCCGATCACAATCACACCCTGTTGCTTCACAAAAAATTGATCTATCATTCTTTTTACGAGTAAAATTTGATCTCTTCTTCTTTTTATTGGGTTCTAATTTAGTCCTCCTTTTCCCTGATTTAGACTTGGGGGTCTTTGGAGGGTTGGGTTGACTTTCAGAAATCCCATCCATGCCTTCATCTAATCCAGTTGCATCATTTTCAATAACGCCATCCTCATCCTCAGACTGACCAGTTTCGCTTTCAGATCCTGCCACTGATCCCCCTTCACTTTGTTCCTCTTCTGATTCCTCATAATCCATCTCATCAGTAACTTGCTGTTTTTGTTTCTTTGCATCTAAACCAAGGTCCTCAGCCTTATCATCATTATCTGCATCATCACCATCATCATCATTCTCATTGCTGCGTGATCGGCCACCAGACACATCTTCATCTGTCTCATCTGAAGCATTTGGCTGTGACTCTGGCACAAAATTTTTTATGCCGCTGATTCTAGAGAGCAAACGAACATGGGTTTCTATGGCATCTTCCAACTCCCTCAAAAATTTACCCTCTAATATGTCCTGCCAGTCTTCTACTGTAATATCAGTGTACTTGGGATACTGTTCAGTCTTACAAAGCTTCATCCTGAGCTTATATACACGACAGCTCTGGCCATCAGAATCAGCATAAGAAACAGATGCTTCTGCACTCTCTACTATATCTGCCACTGTGATTTTCTTCAGTTTATCAGCGAGTCGCATTGCATCCTCCCTGCACAAGCAAAACACAAACATATTAGTCATTCAAAGAAAATTAGAATAAAAGAAAATGCAATCTCCTACTTAAGTGGGACAACAGTTGGTTCCTAACTGAGAAATTCATTAGCAAGACTAATTAGATATTAAACTAAATACTTAGAAGAGTCTCATCCATTAGATAGTGCATGCACAGCAGGATTTCAACATCTCAAGGATCTGAGTGCAAAGTCAGTACATCTTCTGCTTGCTAATTATGGCTGTCGAGAGCACGTTAGAAGCAGATGGAATTTATCCAAGGTTCCAACCTGATCAACCTTCTAAGAGGTTAAATTTAATGAATCCAAATCCATGTAAAGCATCTGATGAGCTCTTTTCTCAACACACAGACACACCGCATGAAAATTATTCATTCATTGCAATTAAGACATGGAATAGATTCAATTAGAGATCACCTTCCTGCAAGAGAACATGAGAGGAGACACTCACTTTGTTTTACCCTCTTGTAAAGGGCACGTCATAAGTGGAGTCTTTATATCAGCTGAAGCAGTCATCAAGATCTCCTGTAAACGTGGGATTCCAAGTGTGACATTCATCTCACCTCTCCCAGCAAGATGGAAAGTGTTCAGCCTGGAGTAACCCAAAGCAATCAGAGTTGGGACAAAACAAAACAGATTATATCTAAATGGAAAGAGCGAATGCTTGAGGTAACATAATAAACCAAACAACATATGAAATATTAAAAAAATTTATTAATTCAATCATAAGATTTTTAGATGTAGTTTGGATATTGTTTACGGGCAAAAGTACTTCCCATGGAATTATCAATGAAACATATTGCTGCTCAAATGAAAATCTCGACCATTAGATATTTAACCAGATGTCCTATGAAACAGTATTACCGGCCTCACTTTAAAATTGATTTAACACATTGAAGAAATTTCGTTCCATTTACCAATGGTTTGCTTGAAATTACAGAAGTTGAAGTCCATTCAGCCAAACACCTAAAATATCAATAACCTTATGCTGTGGTGCGACTTCAATGATTAAACAATATGTGAAAGAGGCCACATATTTGGAGCTCACCAGACCTTGTTATAACTAGATGGGCTACAGAGAAGAACAATAACGAATTATAGGGACAAGGAATAAGCATCTCCAGACACCACTCCTTTAGAAACAAAGGGTGACAAAATGTAGAAAGCTGTCGGAGAAATGGGGATCACAAATTAATGCCCTTTGAATTCTTACTTCAGGTTTTATGTACATAAAAAGGCATTACTTGTTATAATTCCACTTAAGTGGGATCTAGAAGAGGTCACATCCTAAAATGTTCGAATTTACCTTTTAATTGTCACTCAGTGTCAAAACACACAATCATATTTTTGCTAATAAGTTTTAACACCAATTCCCCATGTGATGGAAACATGTCAATTTTTCTCTGGTACTCCCAAAAAAACTAAAAAAAAGGGTTCTGATGCAAAACATGAACAAAATAATCTTTTACACTGAAGAAGATAGGGGAGCACATAGAGTTGGAGTAATTGTAAATGAAGTAACAACAACCATTAATTCTTAAGTGAAACTCTTTGAATTCCTACACATAAATCAGAATATGTTAGTGAATCATTCCCTTGACTTTCTTAAACATGTGCTTGAATTCTAGAAATTAGTACATCTAATTTTTAAAACCTTAACCATGAAGAACCACCTGCATACCACCCACATTTTCCAACTTGATACCTTTTTCTTTTCTTTTCTTTTTTTTTCTCCCACCATATACAATACAACAGTATGTGATAGATGTTGTACACTATTAATTTAACTGATTCTTTTAACTCTCACATAAGTCAGAAAACCTTCATGACTCATTCCTCTCACTTTAAAAGCATATCTCTCTGAATTAGATAATACAGCCCCACTGCTATAACAACCACATTTTCATTTTCCTGCTTGAAAACACAGTCCACACCAGACAAGGGGAAAAAGGAAAAGCAATATAGCTAAACTTCCCTTGGCTATTGCAGGACAAAGAGTAATTGATACTAATCTCAGTAAAATGCAAAATAAAGAAGAGCTCAACCAAAATGAAATTGAATTCTAAAGATTTAAATGACAGAATCCTAAAATAATTTGATCAGTTTAACCATTTTAAAAAGCATAACAAGCTGCACATTGCAAAAACATCAAACTGAGTAACTATTTAGCAAAAAGAGAATCTTACGTCATCTGGGTTGATGGTTCTCCTACGGACTGAGAAGCAAGAACACCCACGGGTTCTCCGGGCTGTGCAAGACTTGCAAAGAATTTGTGCTTCATCAACTTCAAGAAGTGTTTTCGTTTCACTGGGTGAGAAGAACCTTTCCCCTTCAAGGAGTATCCATCAATGAATTCATCAGCCTTCTTCTTGAGTCTTTTGGGCAAATCTGTTATGTACTTATTTGGTTCTCTGAGCTGAAGACTAAATTTTTCAGAGAGCATATCTTGATTCTGAAAATAATGAGGTTGAAGAAACAATTGATAAGAAAATAGTTTTCAAAAGTATCTGAATTCAGAATGAGCAAGTTCTCACCAATGCCAGTGCTTCAAATTTGGTGATAAAACTGGTTTGATGGACATCGACACCATCTTCTCCATATTGAAATTGAACAATGGAACCATCAGCATCGCGGACAGTGTAATCATAACTTATTTTCAAGCACTCAAGGTTTTTTATGAGACATCTTTGCAGGTATCCGCTGCGAGATGTCTTAACTGCTGTATCAACTAACCTAAAAACAGAAGATCACCATGCAAGTAAGAACACAAAAAAGTTTCACAACCCTGCACAGAAAATCTATATAAGCTTAAAAAAATAATAATAATAAAAATAAAAATAAAATAAAATAAAAACCTAATTGTATATGACTTGCTCTTTGATAAATGATGGTGGAGATGCAATACTTTAGTGAGCAGCACATCCAAACACGTCAACAACTAGCATCTAACAAGCAATAGTATAGAAAACAGATATGATCTGAAGATAAAAGAGATACATAATCTTCAGTGAATAAGCACTACTCTTTTGGTTCACTGTTCATGAAATGTAAAACTGGCCTAGAAAAACAAACTAAAAAAACTTTTAAAAACCAGAATTGTGTAAGTCAGATATGAGTCTTTTAGGATAAACCATGAGCAACGTTTTATAATGTTCCCAACTACAGTTTTCCTTTTTCCTTCCCATTTCCAGATCAATTCCAGAATCTTCATCTTCCTTCTCGCCAATATTCATGACAAGTTCAGAGTAGAACAATAAACCACAAAACCTAATTTTCAAGAAGCAAAAGCTTCAACACCTTAATATAAATTCTAATTTGCTCCACTACAATTACAATTCTGACAATTCCCTTTTTCCTTCCCATTTCCAGATCAAGATTAGCCTAATTACTTTAAAATTCTTCTCCAACTCAAACAGTCCACAATTTTTTTCATGAAACCCCAACCAAAACAATACTCCATCTCCCATTAGTTAGCTATATTTTTTTGCATATTTCAACCCAAGCTGTCCAAGGTCAAAACCACTATGTGACAATTACATGGTGACCTGTACCAGCATTGGTCCCAAAAAAAAAAAAAACTCAATCTTTATCATATTAGTTCATGCCTTTCAGTCAATCCTACAATACCATATGGTTGCATCCATGACAGAACAATTTCCGTGGCAAGCTTTAGCGTAGAATAAGGGCTTGGTGATATTAAAAACAATAAGGCAGCTAATATCAGAAGTAACATCTAAATGATACAATCTAAATTAATGCACCAAACTTTTACTCCAACGGACACACCTGCAAGAATCCAAGATGCATGGCTCCTAATATAATGGCAAAACTTTTAACTTTTAAAAAGCATTAAAATAAAGAGACCAAGCAGGCCACAATTACAAAAATTCTTCAATTTAACATTTTAATTCACGAAGGATATATCATTCTTCATTAGAAGATACCAAGAAATGTTAAAGATGGAGTTTTCTTTACCCTTCACGTCCAGCCATGCAATGGAAATAATATTCTTGAGGGCGAAGACCACTTAAAAACCGATCACTTATAAAACCTCCAGCCCGAGCTTCCCAATCCCATGGATGGAAGCAGGGTAATGTTTTACCAGAAACCATGCGAGGAACCCGTTTACCTTCCAATTCTTGTTGGCCCAAAAAAGCAGATATTTGTTGGAAATTAACCTATTCAAAGAATTATTAAGATATTAAAAATAATCCACGATCTCAAAAATAATATCAATGAAATATTAGGACAATAAAACTGTAAAATGAGGTTTCAAATGGTTCTACATGAGATCTAATACATTTCCAGATTCTGGATTGAGTTCACTAATGTCTCAAACTTCCATGAATAATGTCATATTATCCCCCAACTTATATTTTCAAAAAAAAAGTCAACAAACTCTAAAAACAAATACACTTCAAGACAATGTCTAACAAAGTTTTGATCCCACCTCTTGGGTATTGAACCCATGTGATTGGTCATTTTGGTTTGCTTGCTTGCTTGCTATTATAAGTATTTAGATTTTTATTAATATCTAATGTGTGTGGTTTTGTACCTGGACTAAGACGAGTACTCCTTGTAATCTCCACATTTAAACAAAATTTTTTATTTGATGATAAAAAAATTGGTTAACAAAGTTGAAGCATGTGATTGCAAAGTGCAAACAGTACCATACGAGTTTGAAATAAATGCACCGTTAGTCCTAAATATTCATGAAAAATGCAATTTCATTGCTCAAATTTTATTTTATTGGCAGTAATCACATCTAAGGATTCTAAGAATCAATGGAACAATATAAACTGAGTGTTCCATTCTGACTTGCTGAGTGGCAACAACTAACAGTTGATCCCTGTGTGCTTGAAATCATGCATTGTTTAACTAATTGCCATTTGAATTAATTAATATCATCTAGCTATACATATGAATATGATGCTGATGTTGATTAAATTCTACATGCCAAGAAAAATGTGGTCTTGGTATGGTAATGTATTTTTTTAGGTATGGTCAGAGTACAATCTGGTTTTAAATAATGTGTCTTAAAGAACATATGATTTTCATTAAGAAGGAAAAACAGGGTTAAGGGAGAATATTGAACTTCTTAACTAAAGGTATGCTAGCATCTATTGTTACAAACCTTAATTTCAAAGTAGTAAAAGCACAAGTATCAACTACATTAATGGTCAACCTTAATTGCATGAATTTTAAAACTTAAAAGTTTGTGATTATTCTAAATAAGTCACATTATATGAGACTGTATTTTTCATTAAAGTTTACGAACTAACACTACATCTTGTCCTAAAAACTATACGAGCCACTGTCAGAATGGCAGCTAGGCAACATGAGATACATTTTGTGACACACAGCTATCCTATGAAAGAAGTCCTTGATAGCACGTGTGTGAAGGCACTGAACTTGATTGCTAGAAATCAAAGTCGAAAGACAACACTAATTTTTGCTCAAAGTTCAGGGAAGTTTAGGGGAACAAATTGTAAATAAAATTTGCCCAAAGTTTGGGACATTCAAGGATGAAATTGAATTCTGACTCGAAGTTTGGAACTACTGGTTCATTCATTAAAATTAATATCCAATTTCTAACAATATTAGCGAGCCAGAATGGTATTACGATTTCAAAAGTACCACAAAACTAAAGACAGGGAAAACTACAAACCATTGAGATACAATTGGGCTACAATGGCAAAACCTACCTTACTACCTTTGGCACCAGATGTTGTCATAAGAGATATGCAGTTCTTTCCGGTGGATTTTAATAACCCCTCGGTCAGCAAGTCACTGAGAACACCTCTGCTTGAGTTCTCATTAAGTACCTTTGTGACCTTCCTATCCAAGGCTGACACAGCAGCTTCCCCGTAAAACCGTATGGTATTTTCAATTTTATTTTGTAATTCCCTTTTCTCTGTAGGCCAAACAGATTAAGCCATTGAATCTCTATTAGAATATTACATAAATGATGATAAGAAAAGTAATGGGGAAAAAAAGAGGAAAAATTCGACAAAGGAATCAGTCACACGCCTTACTACAAAATCAAAATGGTTCACAATGAAGCAAAAAAAGCAGCATGATTTATGCTACCCATATTATGGTAGAATGATACCAGCCTCTACACATATGCATGCTTAAATTGCTTAGCTAGGAATTTTTGTATCCATCCAGGAAATGTAATCAAGCAGAATTCAAGGATTAAAATTTTAAGGCAAGTCACTAGCATTTAATATATAAGTTGTCCATGTGGAAAATGCATCACATAAATCAAACAGAAATACCTATTATCATCTCACGACGTCTGTACTAAAAATTGATGCTCTTTCAAATTTTTTACTTGGAATCTTGGATACAAAATTTCATACCCAATGAATCTTAATATTTCCAGTTAAGTGCAAGGTTTGATATATGGTTCTACAACAGCCTAATTATCAAACAAAATGGCTAACAGAAAAGGTTGCTTAAAAAAATCTCAACATCTACCATGCTTTCCAAAATTAAGAGGTAATGATTCCTAATGTACCTTAAGACACCTAAATAGGAAAAACAGAAAGGGAGGACAGAAAACACTAGCAATCAAGTTACATCCATGGTCAACCAATAGTTTTATTTTATTAATAGACAATATGTAGTTCTATGCTCCATTAACTAAAAGCCCACTCAAACCTGTCTTATATAAGTAAACTCTTAAAATTAACCCAAACAGAATTTAGTAGTACTTCCATGACTTTTGCTTTTCACTTTTGTGAAAACAAGTCCTATGATGTTTAAAAAGTATTAAAAAAATACTCAAAATGGATCTATTAACCTTTTCATCAAAAGTGTCATTGATTATCAAAAGCTACAACATACAAATTACAAATAGCATACAAACAGCTTCTTCCTCAAACTTTATTATAATCCACTCAAATATCTGGTATAATAAAAAAATTATAGTGCTATAAATCAGGGATAAGCAGCATTTCAGCAGTTATACATACCTATTTTAGCACCATCATCTCCACCAAAAAGCTTATAGTGTGCTTCTGTAACTTTCCTTTCACAATCCTCAAGTTGCTTCTTCCTTTCAACATCTTTATCTTTCATTATCAAAAGGTCATCTACACCGCATGTGAAACCATGCATCTTTAATCATAAAAATAGATGTTAGTTTGGAAATCCAATCAAGGATGCTTGCCACAAGATTAATTAAACTACACTAATTGACACGAGCTGACCTGAAGAAAAACTGTGAAGAGACGACTAAACACTGAGAGCAAGCTGCCTGCTGTATTTGAGCCATAGAGCTCTTGAACTGTATGTACTAAACCATAGTCAGCAAACTGAGCTTTGTCAATCACACCACGGACCAAATCATTTTTGTAAATTAACAATCTATCTTCATCAGGCTCTTTTATCTTTGACTTGACATCACCACCCTTATTGATTCGATCAGCTTCCCTACTTTTTCTCTTAAAAAAATCACCCGGAAGTTTTGCATTTTTTTCAACTGTAAATGGTGGGCGACCACTTGTAATATGATTTAGCACAGCAGTAATTACCTAGAAAGGTAAGATATAAACATAAGACAAGTATATGAAAACATATAAATTATATACAGCTCTATGAAAAACAGGAACATGCAATTTTACATTTGCAATTTTACATTTAAAGGTCCAGGGAATGTGAGATGGCTATATTTTAGTATAATATATAATTATTAGGACTTTCTTGCTACTATGTTTGGACCTAATATAGAGGAAGATTCAGACTACGAAATCAATTTTCCAATGGCACCTGCTTCCCTGTCCAAAGAGGTTCTGGTTTCCAGATTGCTGGTACAATGGGCAAAATCTCTTCTTCAGAACTAGAAAAGATCACTTTCTGGCCAGGTTTACCAGAAGAAGAAGATGATCCCAAACTAGAGATACCAGAACTATAAAGAAGCTGATTAAACTCATCATGGCTCAAGAAAGTATCCTTCTTTGTGAGAAGTGCAGCACTTAAAATGTGATCCTGAAACATTTAAGATAGAAATTAAAATTTCTGATGAATAGGCTAGTCAAATCAATCAGAGCAGACCATATCCCAAGGTCAAAGGAAATCACTTATTAACTAATATATTCAAACCTGAATCAAGGATCTGATTGGGTCACCATTGGAGGGCTTGCAATATTGATTGTTTGCATTAACAATGTTGTATGCCTCAGCACGAGATATTTCATCTTGTGGGAAATGTACATTCATTTCATCTCCATCAAAATCAGCATTATATGTGCTGGAATTACAATAAGAATGTCAGAATTGTAATTGATATATGACACCAAGGTGCATCTCAAAACACACACACAGGGAAGTAAATGTAAATAAGTCATTTTCAGCCACTTTAGAATTTTTTCCACAAGTACAAGCTTGACTTTGAGCTCAGGCCAGATTCAAGCATCTTTCTCAAGTTTGATCTCAATTTATGAGGGCTTTTAAAATATTCAAGCTTGGATAAAAACCAAATAAACTATTTAAATAGAAATTCATGACTAATTCGAAGTTTCGAACACAACAACAACATCAACAACAATAATATAATAATGAATGAATGAATGAATGAATAATGCCAATGATGTATTGTGCAGGAGCGACGGAGAAAGCTAAAGCTATGGCCTTGGAGATCTTAACTTCATATCTTCCCACCCACATATCATTACACATAAAACACACACACACACACAAACACACAATTTAATACAGAACTTACATTGTTTAAGACTTTAAGTCAGATAATCAATATGACTATAATCAATATGCAGATTCATTGTTCAATAAATCAAGCTTCAAGATTTGTGAGCTTCATAGCCAAATTTGAGCAAACAAATTAAACACGCATTACATAAGTTTCAAGTCAGGAAATTAACAGATTCCAACCAAACCATGCAATAATGGCTTGGTTCGTTTTGCAATCCCCCGTTCCCCACACAAATATAAACTGGATGTACACAAATATCTACCTGCAATTTGCATAGTGCATGCGAATTGTCTTCTCCCCCTTCAAAACACGAACTATATGTGCCATTATACTGGGCTTATGAAGTGTAGGCTGCAAGGTAAAAATTGGGTCAAACTAAAGAAACAGCTGAATATCCATCTCAAGTGCACTTAAAACAAAGAGTAAAACTATCTCATATAGTTCAGAATCAAGAGGAACAGATGTATGCTTCATTGGAACTTCATTTTTTTAGGTTTTTCATCTATTCTCAAGGAAAAGTCATGCTTAAAGGGATTTAAAATTAGAGACAAGCACTGGATGCAAATTCAATGGGGTAAAATAAAGAGTCCATATAACAAAGAAACAAATAAAAATACATCTGCTATCCACATGACTAATAATACTTTTTCAAGAAGAACATAGAGAAAAGGTTCAAGAACCTAAGTTAAGCAACATTACAAGATTTAATAGCTAGAACCATTAAATATTTGAAACTTCTCAGTAGTATCTCCACATAATACATGCCTTAGCTGCAAAGTAATAATAATAATGATGATGATGATGATGATGATGATAATAATAATAATAATAATAATAATAATAATAATAAAACCAACCACCAGAATGAAAGAACACATAAGAATGAGTACGTGTTAAATTCACTCATAACTTTTCAAACTTAAGGTACAACAAAGTAACCCCTATGCTCAGAGAAACTGGAAATGGCCAGATGCCTCAGAGGTTACCCTTAAAAGCCTATTTGGTTTGAGGGAATGGGAGGGGAGGGGAGGGAAAATTATTATAACCAATCAAATTATTACGTTGGCCCAATGACTTAATTTAATTGGTCGAAATAAGGCCACTTTCCCTCCCCTTTTACCAAACCAAACAAGCTATAAGAGTACATACTTTCCCCCCTCCCCTCAATGTAATAGGATAAGATATTTGCCATCTTTTTAAAAATATATATATATATATACACACACAACAAGGTAGATCTCCATCAAAAAAAGTACCTGTCGATTTACAAGCACAACATCTCCATCTTGCAGGTGCCTTAGAACAGTTTTGCCTTCAAATTCAAAATCAGAATTCTTTCCAGGTTGAATGACAGCACCTCTTGAGGAAGGTAATTTTCTTGATATGGAAATACGGGCTTTTCGGCTAGGAGGCAACTTATGGGTAGACAACTTATCGATATACTGTGTAGCTCCAGGATGAATTTCAGACCCATTTATAATGGCTTCCCTCAATTTTGCCATATTCCAGGGGGTCACTCTCTGCAAGACATTAACATCAACCAACATTAAATTTTTTTTAAACACAGATAAGTGAGGATTAAAATGCAACATATTGGAGTAAAAACTCTCACTCCAGAATATATCAGTTCAACAAACTACTGAACCGTCAAGTGTGTAGATAAGATAATCAATGAAGGAAAATAAACCAACTGCGGCCATTAGGACTGTATAGAGAACCAAGAAAGCAAATTAGCAAAAAGCTAAGGGCTTGCAAAATTGGGTGGAAAGCATCCCATAATCCCCTCCCAACACACAACACACAACACAACTAATGTAACAAATTCACTATAAGAGATGATGAGCCATAAAATTCAAGTTTGAGGAGAAAAGTGTTATTGTTATATATGTGGAAATAACCAAGACACAATTGCACTCATGACTTTTGCAATTTATGAGAATTCTTAACCGTACCAAGCATATTATCATAATAAATTATAGCTTTAAACTACATGGATAATCATACAAATGGATCAAGCAGCAAGGGTTTGCAAGTAAAATTTACCGCAGGCAAAAACTATTACTACCAGGAGATATGGCATGACTGAGAGGCTGGAAAAGTAAAAAGGAACAATTTGCAAGAAGCATTAAGTGAAGTGAAACCATAAATACCAAAAAGAGCCAGGAATAATCAAAGTTACACCAACAAAAATCAATAGTCTCCCTGCAACTGATGGAAAGCAGTGGAAAAAATGGCAGCTTAATGCAGATTATTAATTCACTAGACTGTACCTCTGGATAGGTTAACCTTAGTGCAAAATATGGAGGAATTCCAATCTCATTAACTGCTAAATAGGGATCAGGGGATATGACAGATCGGCAGGCAAAATTAACCCTCTTTCCCATCATTTTTTGGCGGAACATGCCTTCCTTTTTCTCCAGCAACTGACAAATCCCTGTACCAACATCTTTTCGACCTGGACCTATCATTAACAAGGAAAGATATTACTTAAACGGAACAAAAAATAGTTCATTCAAAAAATAACTTGAGAATTGAGACTTCTAAAAGTTGAAGCCTCCTGTTTGAATCTTCAGATGGGCACAGCTAGATTTTGGAAAACATGAGGGTTATCCCATGTTCCATAGCCCATAACCCCGTGGACCAGAAGGAAAACAACCACCAAAAGAAAAAAAAAAAAAAAAAAAAAGGGGAAAGGGAAAAAAGAGAACTGTGGAGGCAATCATATTTCCCCATGCAAAATACCACGATCAAGGACTCAACTAGCTTAGTCAGTAAACTCCTTGAACAGCTGTAGCAAGACCTTGGGATCTGCTCCTGCCTTTTATTCGGGTAGGGATGGTTATTGTAATGGGAACAGAAACTTTTCAGGTTGCAGTCCAATCATACTGCATATATGGGAGCAACGTACTTTTACAAATACAAGTTGTGAAATAGCAAACCTTATCAAAAGAATTGTTTAGGGTATTTATATCAAATGTAGTCTATTAGTATGTACTTAACTCACAATTTTGTTTTGACCACCATGAAAATCATTTTTCTGAAAAACTTAACCAACCAATATAAAAGATTTGCATGCTAAGTATTGTGTTAACCAAAATATTCCACCATCGGAATGGGAAGAAACTCTACCTGTGGCAGTTTTAGTATCAAACAACACATTTATGGATTGTTGCAGCTCCATCCACCGACTAACTATTGTTCGTGACTGATTTGATTTACTTGTGTTAGCATTTCCTAATGCTATATTGGACTGCAAAACCTTATTTAGTAAAACAGTTTGAGGGTGCTCCATTACCTACAAGAAAATATCACACAAAAAAGTGATGCTGTCAGCAGAAAGCCATTTTTGAAAAACAAAAATAAGTATAAGAAAAGAGAAAAATAACACAAATCTACCATGCTTAAGTGGATCCACAGATCAAAACATAAAGCTAAAATGATGCGCAGAAAAGCAACAGTTCAAGTTCCTTGTTAACTAAAAGATGCCACTACAATAATTGCTAAGACCTAAAGGACCACCGTCTTCATTTAAAAGAAATTTACAGTTTCAAGGCATGGAAACACAAAGCAGAGCACCAGATGAACAGAAATAGAAGTGCAAAGGCACTTGCCATCAAGAACTTTCTTGAAAAGGTTATTAGTCTGAAGAAAGCTATTGAAGATATATTTACTTAGTGACAAACAAAAGAAGCACAGCACAAACAACCAAAAATATCACAGAAGAAAAGAATGAAAAGCCAAAAGTTAGATAATTTTTTCATGAAGACTTTGATGAGACAAAGACATCCAAGGGCTGCATTATCCCCACGCTTGACAATGTTTAGCAGCAAGCAATTGTACTTCTTTTTTAATACTAAATTCAAAGATTAGAAAAATACATTAGAAGTTTTTTAAAGGTTATCCAGGTGTCGTTGATGTTGTAAACAATATTCATGAACAGTAAGGTTACAGCAGCTCTAGATTTTAAGGCTGACTGATTATGAGAGGGAGTTTTCATTGAGTTAGACTGGGGCTTGTGAGAAGGGTAATTATTAAGGGTTTGGAGGATACTCAGAGCTGTTTTCCAAATACTGTTATAGGTTTAGCACCTGCAGCAATAGCTGCATTGGTAGGATGCAGCTCAAGGAAACCCAAACTTCATTACAGATTTTGCTCAGAAGTCATGGCTACCACTAATTGCACACCCCTACATTCAAAATCACAGCCTGAGGTGCACAACAAAGGAGATAAAATACTATCAACTGCCGACACTTACAGAATCACCTCCCTTAGTTGGAGCACGAAATTTTATAGGAGGTACAAGAACAGTCTCTAAGAAGAACATAGAGTGACCTGCTTTATTCCCAAACCCCTGCTGCTGGATATCAGTGATGAAGGAACAAAGATCAACCTCATTTTCCCACAAAAGTTTTATGATATTTTTAACCTGTGACAAAGAATTATAAAAACTATTCACTCAGAATGACATTAAACTAGAGAGATCATGATAACAAAATACATTTTCAACAGTAAGTATACCTCTGATGGCAACAAAGGTCCTGAAAATTTGCCCCTCTGCTTCATGAACTCAGCAAGGACTTCCGCATTATTCCTTTTATGATCCTTTGAGCCACCACCTTTACCCCCATGGTGGTCAGCATTGGGATTATCCGCATCACTTTCATAAAGAGTGATATTATCGGTGTCTTCTACCTCAGATCCAGCTTCACCAGAGAATGTGTCCCTCGTCTTTATCCCTCTCATCACATTTTCTCTAGCATTGGCACCCGTCTTATCATTACTCTGCAGTGATCAAGAAGAACAGGAAAGAAACTCGGCCTAAAAGAATATTTTCTAAAAGTACAAAAGTTTCTAAATGACATTATCTTAAGTAGCCAAGGAGAGAACAGATGGTAAAACAAGAAAAAAATTAAAAATTACAATATGAATACATTAAGGACAGGTATGTCACAAATTGCACTAGATTAATTGAATATTTGTATGCATTAGAATGCATAACTAATAAGAATAAAATTGGTTTGTTTAGTAGTTTCAATAAGAATAGAGAGCTCCCATACATTGACAGCACTCAAATGACTGAAAAATAATGAAATAAATATGTTCCTACTACTAAAAGTCAGTAGCAAATGAAAACCAATCATGACGCATATTAACAATCACTTCCCAACTTTTTGCAGGGATATATATTTAAAAAGAAAAAAGGAAAAAGGAAAAAGAATTCAAAAGATATACCATGTGAAGCCATCCAAAAGTTGGTTTCCTGAGAATAGGACTTTTTGCCATACATCTCTTACACTTGGTGAATTTGAGCTTCAAAAATTTGTTTAAAATTGACATTGCTTCAGTTAACTGAAGAGAGGTCCATTTTTGCTGCTGTGAATAATCACAATTCTGATCTGCATGACTTGAATGTACTGTAGAACATGATGTGTGGCTTCCTTCACTATCCTCTGGGTATTCGGATACAGAAACAGAATATGAATCCTTTTTCTTATCACCAGGAACTGGATCTAGTTTTCGTGCACCAGCAACATCTCCTTTGGCAATGAGTTGCAGTTGAGAAACGCATCTCTTAACCTTAAATTCATATCCCCACCAAACCACCACAGAAACAAAATTTCAAAACAACCAAGGAAAAGGAAAAAACACAACAAAAAGGAAAACAAGTAAATTATAGTACACTTTTTTCTGTCAAAGTCCATTATACTACTTGGATATTCAGTCAATAAGCTGAAATTACCTCTTCCGGATCTGCTTTAAAATGATAGCAAAACAAACAGGTCCTTTGCAGAATGTTGTAAAGAAAAGTGAACATCAAGGGATTGTAAACAGGCGAAACAAGGTCGATATGACCGCAATGACCCGGGCAATTCAATTTTGTCTGGCCACATGTTTTGCAACTGCAGTCAGATGAAGGAAAAACCATATCAAAAAAATGAAATCCCAAAGTTCACCCCTTAAACAAAAACTGCTATCTCATGTGAATATGTTTAGTAATTTATTTCACATCATAACTCAAATTAAATATAGCAGTGTTCATCAACAAAAAGGAATGCCATACCGTAACCTAGTGACTATAACAATACATCAAGAACACCAACAAAGATCAAAATTTCATACAAACCAAGAACTTCTAAAATATCAGGGCGGAAAGAGAACTTACGGTGCCCTATCCTCTAGTGGCCCCATCATCGGATCATACAATCCGCCAGGAGTCGGCCGGTCCAGGTGGTCAAGCAAGAAGGGATTCGTAACCTTCAAAAAGCTATGCTTTCGAACCTCTTCCGCCGTCATGAAGCTGAACTGCACGGCCTCAACAGACTCCGTCACACCCTGCAATGAAGCAGCTTAGCATGTATTCACAAAAAATAAACAGAAATCAATGCTGAAACCAAAACTCGATAGCCACACGGGAAGCAATAATCCAGTCAAGCCGAAATCGAAAGAGAGTAGACATGAATTGAAGGGAGAGGAGAAGGGAGAAGGGAGAAGGGACCTCTGTGGTTTGGGCCATGTTGGCAGCTGTCGTAAGAGAAGCAAAACCGAGGGAGAAGGTATGCTAAAGAGCTCGACGGTGTTGAAGCGAAGTTAGGATGTTGACGGCGATGAACCCAGAGGAAGCGGCGGCGGAGGAGACGGGTTGGGGTTTAAGAGGTTTAAGGGAGGGAACGCAGGCGGCTTCCATTAACTACAAATATAAAAAGCTCAGTCCGATTGTTCGACCTTCGCATTGCCCTCTTTTATTGGCTTTATTGTCTTTTCAAATAAACTTTGGGAACCAAACAAACACTCCTAGCAACACAAAGCCAAATATTAAAAAAAACAAAATAAAAATACCAACGAAATTTTTAGTTTAAATAAAAAATAATTTGATTTATTTTAAATAAAATTTTAAATTTAAATTTTATAAATAAAAAAATAAATATTAAAGATATTTTTTAATAAAATTTTGTGTGATTTAATTCTAAATTAATTTAAGGTGAAATTTAATTTTAAAATATTAAAAATTAATGAAAATAAATAAATAAATATAACAACACAAAGCCCTGATAGCTTAGATAAACTGAGCCCCATATGTCCAAAATTACCCCTCTGCAGTGTTAGCATTTATTGGGTTTATTATATTTAGGCTTAGGCTTAGTTTCGAATTACATTTCGGAGCTTTAATTTTTGGGTTTTTTTGTCTTTTTTTTAAATTAAAAAATATATAAAATATTAATAAAAATAAATATTAAATATATTTTATACTGTTGAGAGATTAAAAGACTAAAAAAACCTACCACCATAATCACAGCTTTACTTGGTTTGGTTGTGTTGGGCTATGGTTATGGATGTGGTAGCCTAATTTGGGAGTATTAGATTGATAATAATTATAAGTTTTTTGGTCTTTTAATATTAAATATATATAATATATAATATTTTTAAAAATAAAAATAAAATTAAGATATCGTAACATTTTATAAAATTGTTTAAATACTTTTAATAAGTCTTGTTTTGTTTGTTGATTATCTATTGTGTGCTAGCCTTTTTTAAAAATTTAAAATATTTATTAGGGAATTGGGATCTTGAAGAATGATTAATTTCGTCATAATTTCGGTATTTTTAGAATATTTGAAATGGAATGGAATGATAAGAAGATGGGTAGAGGCAGGGAATACATTAAAAATATGAGTATTTTTAGAATTGGTACTTTGTAAATAAAGATCTTTTGTTGATTAATAATTGGCATAATCGGTTTTGTTTTCATCATCTTTGTTTGTGATTGTGATGAAACGAAGGCATAAAAGCAAATCATGTGAAGGGTGCTAAAATTTGCATATGATCATGGGAACATGGAGGAAATATTTTTAGTGCTGTTGGGTCTTTTGATTGCTGTGAAGATTGAGACTTACTATTGTAGGAGAACTTTCATTGGTTAAACAGGTGGTGAAAATGATTTTGAAGCCACAACTCTAGAATTTAGATGAGAAGATTGACATAAGCACGTTTTTTTGCTGTTTGCATGATTTATCTATGTCGATGACTCTTTAAACAAACTCTGCATTCTTACTTCTTTCTTTTTTCTTCCCGATAATCCCAAGCCAAGAAAACAAAATTACTAACTAACAGAAACTTTATTAATGGCAAAAAAAAAAACCCGAAGACTTTATTGAAGTTTCAGATCAGGTGGCGTGAGGTAAATCTGAGAATTTAACATGGAATGGAAGAAGGTGCTTGAATACCACACAAAAAAAAGAAAAATGGCGACGAGATGATTGAATGAACAAACTGTGTTTTTTCTTTTATCAACCCTCAAAAAAATAAAAAATGATTTTACATCCAATCTTATCTCACAATAACAAAATCTTACATTGTCATAACAAGTCACATGACACCAAATGAGTTGATATATACTGATTTATGCATCCTGTCAAGGAGAATGTACAGGAAAAATAAAGAGAAGAACTAGACAAGGACCTCACTAAGAGAATGATGTTGTTAATGTTCCAACATTTCAAAAACTATGTATTAAATATGAACGCATGAAAACTGTTGAAATTGGTAGGCTAGCATGATATAAGCATTTGCTAGGACCGTTTTACAATATATAGTCTACACAAAAGTGTGTCCAACTTTTCCAGCAAACAATGAATTGATGATCTGCATACAAACCTGCGGGATATGAAAATTAAAGACATAATTCTATGAAAGTTTAAATGTAAAAGTAAAACAAGGCTACCGGGAATGATAGACATAGTACGCGCCTATTTTAGGTTCATTAAAATGTGTAGGTGAGGTTTCATTTGTGTACCGATGTCTGGGGATCAAACTATGAGGATCTACTGCTGTTTCTGGGGGCAACCTTGGCAGGGGTTGACCTCTCTGACTGTGAGAAGAGAATCAGGATCTGCATGAGAACGGTAATAAGAGCCAAACAAAATGCAGAGACTGCAATACCCTTCCATGAGGATAATAATGAAGACCACTGGAGAAATTTTAAAGCTCCGAAAACCACCATGCATGCCCAAAAGGTAACAACCTGCTCCAAACATTAACTCCATAAGAACACAACAAAACCACAGACTAAATGACTATGCAAGTTCCTCAACCTAATAAAGCAAGTATCTCACCAAGAGAGGTTTTAATGGCCGACCAATGTTCTGTAATTCTTGACCACTGAAGGTGTCCTCAGCTACATGTTTGTCCAACAGTGCATCCTAGCAAGCCAAATCAAACAACAGGAAAACCTTGAGGGTGAAGGCAATATCTTTAAGCACCAAGACAAATAGACAATGAGAATTGAGGATTCAACTTTTTAAAGGTCATAATAACTTTATATTCCACCTTCGACCACACTGTTTCAAGCATGTGTCTAATGCCACATAGGTGTAGACATACTTTTTTTTTTTTCATTTTTTTGGTAAAGAGGTGGCAACCTGCATTTATATCAGATCAATAGTACTGACCTTAGCAACAAATACATCCCTACACCACTGAGCAATAGCCTCATCTGTTTCAGGCAATTCATTCATTGAACGCCGCTTCAGGTGGACATGCACCTGAAAGAAAGAAATGATATATCTTCTTCAAATGTACAAAAGGAAGTTGAAAATGGTTGATTGTCAGCTAAAACAATGAATGCTTTGTTCATGGAAAATACAGAAGGACAAGGATGCTATAGTGCATGGGGCTCCCCAAGAAGACGGAGATGAAGAAAAGGAAATCTTGTCAACAAGAGCCAGATTTAAACTATATCATGGCTTCTTGTTTCTCAGCTTCAGTCATCAAAACTATTTATGAAAATACTCCAGACACGTTCATAACCTCCATGCTCATTAACTGACATAACCAGTATCACTCCACAGGTCACCAGAAGATCAAACAAAATATACGAAACATATTAGGCCAATTATGCATCCCTGCATTTCTTGTTCATAGAAATATATCTTTTTCTTTTCTTTTTTCTTTTTTTTTTTTTTTTTTTTTTTATGGGATAGAGATATCATGTTTGATTACTACCATGCTATGCCTGATCCCCCTAACATACTTTATCCAAATGAGGAATAAACTTTACAGTATAGTGGAAATAGGACATGTATCTCTAAATGGCATGAAGAAAAGATGAGAAGTCAATTTTTGGAAGTTAGAAGAAATGAAAATAGACAGCAAGCCTCAAACAAAATTCTTCAGAAGATATGCAGTTTCCTGGACATATTGATACACACAATGAAAAGCAACTTCAACATTCCAAATGCGAATGTAATCACAGGTAGAAATTAAGTTCCTTCATGCAGCTTGATATCTCCAATATGGTTGCTTACCACAGATGGTTGCCCCTTGAATAGTCTGATCATTGTAGGTTGAGATGAAGTTTTTGGAATAGCCACTGTTATATCATAAATGGCGGGGACAAATGAACGCATATTACTAACTGCTGAAACAAAACCCTGAAAGCAACGCATTAATTTGATAAGGAACTACAGTTATAATTGAGAGAAGTAAAGCTGTTTACAACTTAACAATTGGTAATGGCTAGCTAGCATTAGAATTATATAAGAAGAAAGTTGAAATTAAGAAAATAAGTTTCAGGCAGAAGATTGCAACAAGATGATGGAGTCCAGCAAATGTTCTTCAATCATGCTAGGTTTCAACGTCTACTTACACTAAAATAAAATAAAATGTTAAGATGAGATCTTAGGCCATTCAACCTAGCCCTGAAAAGATGCTTCCAATTTGTGTAACAAGTAAATTTTAGTGGCATTGATCCTTTAGGTACCTAGTTAAATGGGAGTGAGATACTAGAAACTTCTATCTAAGGAGCAGTAAGAATTTGACCTTGGTACGAGGAATTAGAACATTTCTAGGTACAGGCAATCCTGTTGAGGCTGCATATTCTTGAGCTGCTAGAAGCTTTGCCTGAGTAAACCGAGTTCCTTCTACAAGAAGTGCCAGCCAAAACGGCTGTGGGAAGTCCTTCAAACGCTGAAGACCTGACTGCAGATACAATCCCACAAGACCCATATGATATCAATAAGCTTAATCATAAACAAAAAACAGATGTATATATGCATGCACCCACGAACAATTAAATATAAAGAAATTCATGGTAATATCCACAACCATGGAAAGGGATGCTCATAAAATTTCTATACAACCTTTTACACATACCTTTAATATGCTTTCATCTTTGGCCCAGCTTCTTTCCAAAAAGATATATTCAGAAAACCACATTGACCAACCTATTACCTGCAGTAACAGGCATGGAACTTTGACCCTTTGCAAGTGTGGAAGTGGGGAAAGCCCCATCAACCAGAGAAAGGTGAATAATCACACTTTTCATCACATGCAAACAGTAACAAGAAAAAATAGAGTGGCGAATGAGATGCTAAATGAGGCAAATCACTTAATTAACATCATTAAAATAATTTCACATGAAATGACGTAGACTATAATGCTAAGATATACCAAATTACCAAGATCAGGAGCAAAAAAACATTTGTATCTCAATAGGCTTATGTAAGGAAAAATGGTAGCAGGAAATACCAGTTTTTTATTTTTATTTTTATTTTTATTTTTATTTTTTGCCACGGTAGGATGTACTAGTTAATAAGAAGAAACTTATCCATCAGAATTCAAAATTACAAATAAAATAAATAAATTATTACTTTCAAATGAGAATGCCTCTACCTTTTGGGACAAAATCAAAATTATTGAATCAATAATGAAGTAACGAACACAGCACAATCTAAAAACACTTACCGGAAGCAATTTTGATGATTTCTTCATTACAGCTATTGCACTGCCCAGGCAACCTGAACGCTGAAACAAGAAAATTTAAAAATATCAGAACAGAAAGATAACAATAAAATTTAAATGTGCCAAAAAAAATTTTGATACACTGCAGATTTTCAAACTTGCAATATATCAGTTAACACACCTGAGCTAGAACCCATCCGACTAGCCAATCAAGGTCACTTCTATGATTACACATGACAAGTGCATGTTCCTTGCCTAAAACACATTATAAGACAGTAAGGCAGCTGCTTTAAAAATTTAGCACAGAATATCTGTAATCTAACTCAACAAAAGACCAAGTACAAGGTTCTGCGGTAATGACAAGTTTAACCTTACCCATTAACTTGAAGGTCTCACTATCAGTGAATAGTTGAATCTGCATCCAGAACATCTCAAATTATCGACAGTTAAAAAATTCAGACAATTTATATGCTCTTTCATGGTACTGAATCTTCTTCAAATACTAATAGAAGTCAACTCACAAGCATCTTACAAGTACGTAATTAACAAAAGGAGGAAATAGAAAGGGAGGGGGGAAAAATTATAGATCCCAATCCCTATTTCTTTCAATTCAACTGCCCCAATTACCTCCATCCATGATTAAGAATTAAGAATAAGCAGTTTTGCTGTATCTAGTTAATGTTACAAAGATGAATGGAACTTTTAGCCTTTCACCAGTCTTTGCTCAATAATTGAGAGCAAAAATGATCCTTGCCAAATCCCAATGTCGCTGTTACAGATGATACTTCTAGTTCAAATGCATAACAATTTACACTCTTGCAATAAAAAATTTCAACTAAATAATTTAAGTCAGTAAACAATCATTGTAATATAGAAGAAAAGTAGTCTCAAAAATTTACAGGTAAGATTTAAAACAATAGAATTGAGGATTAGTTGGCACCTTAACTCCCGCCCACCAATCAAAGATCCAAATGAGTTCCAGCCACAACAACTCTACCAGCATCCTATTGATCCTTCTGTAGGTGCTTTTTGAAACTGGCCAAATGAGGATGAAACAGACTGCCTGGAAAATGGATCACAAAGATTATGTTCATTACCACCCCAGTACGACAAAAATATACATATATATATGTTCATTATCACCGAGTTAATCCATGCACAGTGTTTTCCAAATAGTGATATGATTAGTATCTAATTGCAGCAGAACCAACAACAAGGAAGATACTAAAACACTTAATTGCATACTGGCACATATATGCTTCAAAGATCCCATATTTTATCAGCAAAGAGACCAAGTACAGGACACAAATCTGTAAACCAAAGGCAATACATCTACTGAGAGAGATCAAAACCGCTAGCAAACAGATTCACAACCGGGATGTACATGCAGTTACACTGATGAGCTTTCCTGAAGAAATTTGAGGAAAGAATGGAAAGAAGAAAGAAACTCCACTACAGATCACACAAAAACAAACAAGAAGAAACAGACAAAACCCATTACAGGTTTTCACAGAAGCAGAGCAAAAATGAAGCAAATCCCTAAAAGGGTAATGTGAAGAAGCTCAACACAACCAAATCTAAAAGCAACCCAATTAACTTAAGTCATAGAAAGAATAAAAAAAAAAAAAATGAAACGGAATCCAACGGGCACCTGAATGAGATTGACGACGAGACCAGAGATGAAGAAGAGAATGCCTAATGGAACGATAACAGCTGCCGCTGCAATCGCCATGGCCACCAACTGAAGCAGTAGAAGATCAAAAAAGATGAGATTTTCAGAGTTGATTTGGAAACTAGATTCAAAAGGGTAATCGTTATGCTAAAAGGGTTGGCGGAAAAATCTATGTAGAGACGGAAGATTGAAGACGAAATAGAGACAGATACGTAAATGGTGTGTCTGCTTTTAAAGGGTGTTTCCCAATTCTAGAAGGCAACGAAGCATGACAGGTTTTCCTTCCCACCCTGCAATTAATCCATTTTTATTTACTACGGGTCGGGTTTTATCCATTTTCATTTCTTTTTCCAGCTATTTGCTCATCTAATTTAATATTTTTTTTTTCTCTTATCCCTCAATTTTGCCGTATAGATTGCAATAAAAACATGTTATTTTTCAGTCTGTAATTTACTTAAAATGTTAAAAAAATTTATTAATATACCTTCATGCATTCAAAAGTTATAGTTACAATATTACTATGTTAGATTATAAGTTTAAAATAATTAT